TCCCATTCCTGGCCACCATGTGGTCAGTTTTTTTCCTAGCCAGAACATTTTGAGAGTCCCTTTTTTTTTTTTTTTTTCAAAAAATCAAACCTTGCCTTTTAAAAATACCTGCTTCTCATGGAGAACCCCAAACAGCCTAGGAGTATAGTATATGAAGGAAGACAAAGCCCTTCTGAATTTCCCTTCCTGCATCATCTCCTCCCCAAGAGCAGAGAGCAACCACTACCAGCCTCCATGGTCCACTGGCCACTGCTCAAAATGGTGCTCCCCCAGCCCACCCCACGTCCAGCCAGGTGCTCAAAGGCTGCTCGCAGGTGGACCCCCCCTTTTGCTCCTCTGCGGAACTGTGGAGCAGACACTGTCTGGATATGCTGTCAAGTGATGTACGTGGTCCTCTGTTGGGGAGTCACTTAGGTTGTTTCCAGTTCTTCTCTTTGTGCTTTTGTCACTACAAACAATCCTGCTTACTTGCATGTGTATTTTTACACACTGAGACAATGATATTTTTTAGGCGAGACCCTCAGGAGCTGGATCACCAGCTCATTTTGGTAGACGTAGCCCACGTGGCCTCCAAGACACCAGGTATTGGCCAAAGTTTCACCTTTGCCAATTCACTGGCAAAAAAGCATAGCTTGCTTTTTATGCACAATTCTTTTGGTTTGAGTGGCATTGGATGTTCTTCATGGGCCCTTTTGAGTTTCTTTTCATGTGAGCGACCTAGTTATAGCTTTTTCTTATTGGGAACAGAGAGTTCTTTCCATATCCAGGATGATCTGTGTTCCAAGTATTCTATCCTCATTTGGGACACATTTTTAACTTTGTTCCTGGTACTTGCCATGCAAAATTGTACAAATCTTCACCTGTCAGAACGGCTAGCATCAAAAAGACTACAAATAAATAACAAATGTAGGCAAAGACATGGAGAAAAGGGAACCCTCATACGCCATTGGTGGAATGGATAAGTTGCTGCAGCCACTATGGAGGACAGTATGGAGTTCCTTTAAAAAGTAAAAATAGAACTACCCAGGACTCAGCAATTCCATCCCCGGGTATATGTCAAAATAGTCTCAAAAAGTAGAAAAACCGAATCCAACAAGATCCACATGTTATATGGAATGATATGCAAAGGGCTTGTATTCAGCAAACTGTTCTTACCTTTCACAGAGACATTCCCACAGTGGGGTGAGCCCAGGGAGTGTAAGAAGGAATGACACTTGGGGGACCCTGCCTGGCTGAGGCCTGCTGGGGGCTGGGGCCACATCTCCCCCACCCGGTGCCACCATCTGGCTTTGAACACAATTCTGCCTCGGGGTGACCATGGGCCCCCCCCCACCTTTTCCCAAGTGCAGCTGTTGGCAGCAGACTCCTCAAAGACCACAGGCAAAGCCTTTTGATCTGGCAAAGCTGAGTTTACTGGACTCAGTGCAAAGGCGATGAGGAAGGACACCACCTTGACCGAGGAAGCTAGAAAAAAGACTCGGAGCCAGGGAAGTGCACAGTGATATCCAGGTGGGAATCTGGACGCAAGCCAAGGGTATGACATGGTCACTGTGGATTGATTGGTGGACACAGCCTAGGGGTGGGTCTTCACCTAGGGTTGGGTTACAGTCTTACCTTCCTGGACCAAGTTTGTCCTGGAGCCAGAAGCTCATGTACTCTGCTCTGTTCCCAGTTTGACAACACAGGGGGAAAGGATGCCCAGTCCCAGAATTGTTTGTCTTGGGGACAGGATGGTCTGTTTCCAGTATGATGTAACACGGGACTAGAAACTGATGCTGGTGTCAGATTTCACAAGTTAAGACCTCTAGGCCACTGTTGGCACCCACTCACTCCCCTGTGAGGTCACAAAGATGATTGTTGGTCAAGCCAGGCCAAAATCACTTCGGGCTGCACTAAGAGAGACCACGACCTTGTCAGAGCCTTAGAGACTTCTCAGAAGGGCCAGGTCAGGGGTAAGATGTTTTTAATTAGATTTTTTTGAGTCTGCTGTAAGGCTGGACTTTTAATGATGGGATCTGATGGGGATGGAGCCAACCTGACTCAGGATTGGTGGACCCTGCTGAGCCAGGGCTTTGAAGGTAACTGCAAGAACAAAGGGCCCTCTGCAAAGTCAGTGCTGTGATGCTCAGTTGGAGGCCGTCACCCTGATGAGGGCTGGTTAAAGGAGGTCATGTTTGGATAAATGGATTTTGAGGAAGCTCCTGAAATCAACAATAAAGTTATTTACAACTTCTATGTCCTAGACAAGAATTTCCTGCCATAGCAGAGGCACCGGGAGCTAAGAGGCTGGGTGACTGCGGTTGTGGTTCTCGCCTGAGCAGGTCAAAAGTTGCTGCAGTGTGGGGGAAGCCACCTCCACCTGGGACTGAAAGTGATGAGATGGTGGGTGTCAGGTTGGCTTTCTCGCTGACTTCTACCCAAAAGTATGTCTTACTGAGAGACCCCCAGCAGCAAGAGCTGAGGGGTCAGCAGGGCTGAGAGGCGAGAAAGAAGGCAAACCCACGGTGGATGGATTCCTGAATGGAGGTGGAGGACAGAGGAGGCTGGCATGTTGCAGTCCATGGGGTCACAAAGAGCCAGATATGACTTGAACAACAACAAAACAACCCAGATTAATCCTCAAAATTATTCCCCAGAGTGAAGCATCCAGACAGTAACTCACCTAGCCTTTTGGCTTGAGATATATATATATACCATGAAGAGGGCATGACAACCCACTCCAGTGTTCTTCCCTGAAGAATCCCATGGACTGAGGAGCCTGGCTGGCTATACAGTCCATAGAGTCGCACAGAGTCAGACACGATGGAAGTAACTTGGCACACAGGCATATATATCAGCTTTTGAAGCTAGCATCTATCATAGATTTCACTTTCCAACAATGGCTGGAGTGATATCCCCCACACCATTTGCTCTTCCAGAACATTTCCACTCCCCCATCAGAAGGTAGAGTCCCCTTGGCCCTGAGCAGGCCTTTATGACTGCCTTGACTAGATGGAGTCTGGCAGAAGAAACTAGTAACATCCAAGGCGAAGTCCATCTCTTGAGAGGCTCACCCTCACAGGCCCCACACTGTGAGGGAGGTGACCCGGAGGGGCACGTGTGCAGAGGGACCATCCAGCACCCACTTGCCCACGTGCCATCTTGGCAATAGATGCCCAGCCCTCAGCGGGCTGGCCCCAGCTGACACCATATAGAACAGAGATGAGCCCTGTCCATGATTTGGACCCACCAGCCAAATGGACCTTTGGAGTTGATTTAAGCCACCGTTCTGGGGTGGATAGTGAACTGGAATGCCATCTATTCCAATTCCTGTGTTATTAAGCAAACTGAATGTTTTTTTAACAATTACCATTTTGACCACTTTGAACTGTCCAGGTCAGTGGTATTTAAGTTCAGATCATTCACACTCATGTGCAGCCATCACCACCATCCATCCACAGAGCTCTCTCCATCTCTGCAACTGAAACTCTGTTCCCCTTAAATACTAATTCCCCCTCCCATTGCCCAGACCCTGGCACCCAGTATCCTACTTTCTGTGTCTGTGAGCTGAGCTTCTCTAGGGACCCCATACCATAGAATCATACACTCTTTGTTCAGTTGTGTCTTGGGTTATTTCACTCAACATAATGTTTTCAAGGTTTGTCCATGTTGAAATATGTAGCAGAATTTCTTTCCTTTTTAAGGCTGAATGACACTCCACTGTGTGTCTCTGCCACACTTTGTCCACTCATCTGTGAACACTGATGTGTAAGTACCTGTCCCAATCCCTTCTTTCAATTCTTTTGGGTGGAATTGTTTCAAATACCCTTTTGAGATCTACTGATGTCATGTTTTCCTCCTTGGATGTATTAGTATTGCTGATTATAGTAACATCATTTGTAGTTGAATCACCTCTGCACTCTTGGAATGAACTCCACTTGGTTATGGCATTGTGTAGTCATGTAGTTGCTGAGTCGTGTCCGGCTCTTTGCGACCCCATGGACTGTAGCCCGCCAGGCTCCTCTGTCTATGGGATTCTCCAGGCAAGAATACTGGAGTGGGTTGCCATTTCATTCTCCAGGGGATCTTCCCGACCCAGGAATCAAACCCACGTGTCCTGCACTGGCAGGCAGATTCCTTATCGCTGAGCCACCAGGGAAGCCCTAGGTTATGCTATATTCACTTCTTAATCTGCTTTTGGATTGTCTTAGCTAATTTTTAATTTTTGAACTATGCACCAATATTTCAGTGCAAAGAATCTGCAGTTTTCTTGGTGGTGTGTTTGTTTTTGGGGGGGTGGGTAAGGATTCTTTGTCAAGTTTGGAAACCAGGTCAGACCGTCAGTCAGGCCAGAAGTATCTACGGAGCACCCTGCCCGGCCTGGACTCTTGCAACGGAGCCCGGGAGGGAGAACCACGGGGAGTCGGCCTGTGTGTGCTACTCTCAAGAAGCTTCTTCCGGTTTCATTAGACGCACTTGGAAGCTTGTTTTTACTTTCTGGAATACAGTGGCACGACCCGTTTCTGAAAAGCCAGAAAGGATGCATTTGACAACTCTCCCCTTTTGCTCTCTTTCTTCTGCGGTCAGTGCTGGCGGTGTCCGTAGCCAAGTCGGCAGAGAGGACGGGCGCGGCCACAGCTCAGAAGCGGAAGACACCCCGCGCCGCCCGGCGGGGTCCGGCGGTGGGGGCCAGCGGGCCGGCGCTCCTCCCTGCGAGCCCCGCCCCGCCTCCGCCCTCCCCCTCCCCCGCCCCCGTCCTCGTTGGTCGCCGGGAAACGCCTAAGACCGCAAGGACATGGCTGTGCACACACACACCAGGATGACTAACACTAAAAAGACTGGTCATACCAAGTGTCGGCAAGGGAGTGGAGCCAACCGCGGCGCAACCTGAGCCAGCCACTTTTCTTCCGAACTTGAACTTCACTTACGCACCGCCCCCCCACCCCGAGCCAGCCATTCCCCTTCTAAGTGCAGTGCAAGTCACTCAGTCGTCTTTGCGACCCCATGGACTATACAGTCCATTAAATTCTCCAGGCCAGAATACTGGAGTGGGTAGCCGTTCCCTTCTCCAGGATATCTTTCCAGTCCAGGGATCGAACCCAGGTCTCCCACATTGCAGGTGGATTCGTTACCAGCTGAGCCACAAGGTAAGCCCAAGAATACTGGAGTGGGTAGCCTATCCCTTCTCCAGTTGATCTTCCCAACCCAAGAATCGAACCGGAGTCTCCTGCATTGCAGGTGGATTCTTTACCAACTGAGCTACCAGGGAAGCCCATTCCACTTCTAGGTGTGTAGCAAAAAGCAAGGAATGCACACGTCCATACAAAGACTTGTACCTGCATGTCCAAGGCAGCTATTCTCCTATGAGCCCCCAGCTGGAAACAAACTAAATAAATGCCCATCAACAGAGATGTGGGACCTCCATACCACAGACTGCTGCTCAGTGATAAAATGGAATGGACGTGCCGATACGGATATGGATGTCACTGTGAGCTTCTTTTCATACCAACGTCTAGAACTGCAAAAGGAATCTGGAGAGTTTGCTTTGGGGCTGAGTTTGATGGCGCCTCCGCTGTGTGTATGGAAAGTTCCAGTGGTTACACTTAGTATGTTTTGGTTCAATAAAAATAATGCAGATAAGTAAGCTTGTAAAGTTGTAAATTTTACTTTAAATACCACTTTCACTGTCAGCCACCAGTTTTAATATTTCCTTCTTTCTATTACTGTATTCTAAGTCTTTCTTTTTGGCTGCACCAGGCATCTTGGGAGATCTTAGTTCCTGGACCAGAGATGAAACCCAGGCCCTGGCAGTGGAAGCACAGAGTCCTAACCACTGAGCCCCAGGGAATTCCCTATAGCTCTAAGTATCTTTTAAATTTTCATGATGATTTTTTTCAACTTTGCATCATGTGGCACTTGTGTGTGTGTGACACCACACCTTGCAGCTTGCCTGCTTCTTGCTTTATGGTGACAATACTACCATGATCTTCAGAGCCACCTGCAGACACAGGGAAGATGCCCCTAGTCACAGGTTCATTTATGTTTTCTGAATCTTCACAGAACTCATCTGCTTGACCTAAATACCTTCAAGGAAAGCCCATGGAAACCTCCCTCTAAGGTGCTAGATGTGTCTATTTCTCCATGGAGTTCTGTCCATTTGTGCTTTATATATTTTGAAATTATTTTAACATTATTCCTGAAATGTTGTAGATTTGTCTGATATTAATATAACTCTACCAGCTCCCTCTTGGTTCTTAGGTGCCAAGTAGATCTTGATTTTCTCCTTCTCTCACGTGATCTTTCTACAGACATATGTTTTAGGTGAGTGTCTAGTAAACAGCATATGCCTGGAAGTTGTGGTTAGGATGCAGTGTGACAATGTCTGTAATCTCTAACAGTCCCGCTATCTGAAGTCCTCTCAGAGTTGACATCTGTTTTTTGTTGTGTCAGCCACCACAGAAGCAACCACCCCCCCCCTGCCCCTCCGCCCTGGGGCTGGCTCAGCTCAATGTGGATGTCACACTCTCAGCTCCCCCACCTGTTTGGGTTGTACACTATGAAGAACAATCTGGAAAGAAAGCCCATCTGAATGGCAAGGACAAAGAGTTGCAAATGATAAACATTTCAGATGGCTGCCTGGCAAGGTCAGGGTGCTCTCCAGAGAAGCTGAGGTGCCCCATGACACAGTAGAGCGCTGATTAGAGGGCTTTGAAATTAAGCATGTATGTTCAAACCACAATGAGACCCCGTATCATGCCCACTAGGAGGCTTACAAAAATCAGTAAAAAAAAAATCAGTAACAAGTAACGGTGAGAATGTTGAGAAATCAAAAGCCTCGTGCACTGTGGTAGCAATGGTGCGTCCAGTCCTCCAAAAATTCAACAGAATATCAGCCCCTGTCCCAGCACAGCCCTGTGAATGTACTAAAAACACTGAAACATACACATTAACAGTGTGAATTGGGGCATTCTCTGGTGGTCCAGGGGTTAAGACTCCACACTTCCAATGCAGTGGGGGGGGGGGTCTCAGGTTCGATCCCTGGTCACAGAACTAGGATCCCACAAGCCACATGGCCAAAAAAAAAGTTATCAAAAGTAACATGAAAGAACATGAATTATATGGTATGTCATTCAGATCTGAATTTTTCAATGTATTTTCCAAACGAAATTTGGCTCCCAAGCCATGGTAGCAAGGGCTCCAGTTAAAAAAAGACCAACGTAGCAGCTGAGAGCAGGGCAAGCCTCACCTTGGCCACTTCCTACCTCCTCGGACCTGAAGGTCATTCACCTTCTCTAAACTTACTGTTCTTGACAGTAAGGCCTCCATCCTCCCTGAAATGATCTGTGTTTCCTCATCTACAATGCGGCTGAGAGATGCAGCCCCGGGGGGGGGGCGGTGGGGAGGGTGGTCAGGACACCACCCGGTTCTGTGCAAACACTTTCCTGATCTGCTGGGTTTGTTGGTTTTTTTTTTTTTTAAGATTTATTTATTATTTTTGGCTGCACTGGGTCTTTGTTGCTGCATGGGCTTTCTCTGATTGCGGTGCGGTGGCTTCTCTTCTTGTGGGGCATAAGCTCTAGAGTGTGCCGGCTCCAGAAGTTTCGGCTCCAGAAGTTTCGGCTCACAGGCTTAGTTGCTCCGTGGCATGTGGGATCTTCCCTGACCAGGGATGAAACCCGTGTTCCCTGCATTGCCAGGCGGATTCTGAACAACTAGACTAGCTGGGAAGCCTGTGACCTGCTTTTATGTGACCTTGTCCAGTGCTCATATAAGAGGTGAAACTGAGGCACAGAAGGCTGACAAAATATATGCAAGGTGTCCCAGCTCCTGAACTGCAGACATCAGTGTCAATTTTGAAACTGTAATTAAGTACTGATAACATCAAATTTGGGTTTCCCTGGTGGCTCAGTGGTAAGGAATTTACCTGCCAATACAGGAGACCCAGGTTCGATCCCTGGGTTTGGAAGATCCCGTGGAGAAAGGCAATGGCAACCCACTCCAGTATTCTGGCCTGGGAAATCCCATGGACAGAGGAGTCTGGTGAGCTACAGTCCATGGGGTCGCAAAGACTCAGACACGACTTAGCAACTAAACAACAAACATCAAATGTAGCATCTTGACCATTTTTAAGTGTCCAGCTTGGCAGCACTAAGTATGTTCACGTGGGTGTGCGGCCATCCCCAGAACAGTCCATCTTCCCCAATGGAAACTCTGCCCCATTAGACTCTAACTCCCCCTTCCCAGCCTGTGCCCCCTCCCCATCCTCCTCTCTCTGTCTAGGGTCTGACGACTCTAGGCACCTCATACCAGTGGAGTCATACTGTGTCTTTCCTTGTGTCTGGCTTCTCTCACTGACCATCACACCTTGTCAGTCCAGCCGTGTTGTAGCGGCTGTCTTTTGAAGGCTGAATCACACTCCATTATGGGGCTGAACCATGTTCTGTTCATCCAGGCATGCATCGACAGACACTTGGGTTGTTTTAAATGTTTTAGTTATTGCGAATAAGGCTGCTGTGAACACAGGGGGACAAGTATCACTTCAAGGCCCCGCTTTCCCTTCTGGTGGGCAGATCCCCTTCAAGTAGGATTCCGGGATCCTATGGTAATCGTATGTTTGATTTTTCCAGGCAACTTCAATTTTAAGCCAAGAAAGGCAAGCAAGAAGGCAGTGCAGTTCTAGTTGGCTGCTGTCCGGGTAGCAGACAGCAACCCCTCTCCCAGCACCATGTGCTGGTGATGCTTGGCACACAGAGACTCTGGCAGGCAGTCATTTCAGCAACCACTGTGGCTGGAGGTGCAGGCATGCTGCACGCGGGCAGATCCTCTAGCGAAGTGCTCACACGTAGGCAGGGAGTCCCAGAGAGCAGCACCAAAGGAGGAACTCCCCGGCTGAGTACCCAGGAGCCCCGGGGGCAAACGCCCACAGATTGGGTCCTGCAGCCAGTGGGAGATGGCTCTGGACCACGTGGTGCATCTAGAGAAGTTTAGAGCATGTGACAGCAGGCAGTGGGCATGGCTGCTCGTCTCCCTCCGCCCCCAGGAAAGGTCTCAGAATGTGCCAGGGAGTGGGTTACACCGAACTCCCGAGGGCGGCTGCCTCGGGTGGGAGGGTAGGGTCAGGACCCCGATGTGATCTGTGAGGCTGCACGGGATGGCCGAGATAGTGGCAGTGCAAACCCCATGGAAGATGCCCCAAGTGGAAGGCAGGCAGAGCCGAGAAAGAAGAGGCAGAAGGAAAACCAGAAGTCAGCGGTTCTGAAGCTCAATGGAGGGCAAGGATCTAAGTGAAAAGCAGGAAATGGAAGAAAATACTAGAAACGCATGAAAATGGTTAGAAGGACCCTGGGCCCCATCGTTCAGCCCAGGTGGCGGTGGGCAGCCTCCAGGTCACTTAGAAGAGAGGCAGCTACGGCTCGAGGGCCACGTGGACCTGCAAACACCAGGAACCTAAGCACCGCTGATAAGGGGCTAGTTACGTGGCTGTCTGAGGGCTCGCTTGGGAACTGGAATTCCCTCATTTCTATTTACCCAAAGATTTCCCCTCATGGAGGCCTTCAAAGGCGAGAGGGAAATGCTTACCTGTGGGATGCGGCCAATTTTAAGTGCGGAGAAACAGAACCTCCTTTGTCCTCCAGCCTTTGATGAAACGCGTTTGGGGTTTGGGCATTTCCTCTCAGCCATGTATTGTGACTGTGAATGGCTCTGGTCAAGTTTAGTTCGGTGAATTTCCTGTGAGCGGTGGTGACAGCTGCACTGTTCGGTTTCTGAATGCACATTTCAACTACTTTAATTTTTATTCTGAATACTTTTAGAATACATGTTTATAAGGAAAAATATCTGAAGTAGCTATTGCAGATATTAAGATTTGACAAAAGTAGCTGATATGTACACAAGAACCCCAAAAGCTACAAGGAAAAAGACAGACATACAGAAATCCATGACTAGGGAAAACCTGCAACCACCTTCCTTTAAGATGCCCACAAAAGCAAAAGACAAATGAGAATAAGAAAACGTGTATCATCCATATGACAGGTGAATGGCTAATATAATATAAAACAAGCTTCTGCAAACTTTTGGAAGAAAAAGTCCAAACTGAGGAAAGGATATAAACATCTTACAGAACAAATCCTAACTTTCAATAGAAAGCACAAGCACGAGTTGTGCACAAGTGTGTGTGTGTGTGTGTGTGTAGAGGGGCACGAGTTAAAGTCAAAGCAAGATCTTGCCTCGCCCCCATCAGATTGGCACAAAATGAAAAAGCCCGTGACACCTTGCCTGTGGCTGGGGACCCTGGCAGTCCTCTCTGACCACCATCAAACACACATTTTTGTGGGAAATACAAGTGTCAGTGGCAAAGGCAACCCGGGTGTCCTCTGAGTTGCCTCCTGAGGCTGACTCAGAGGAAGACAAGCTCCAGGGCACAAATGCAGGAGGTCAGGTGATGGCAGCCTACATAGACGTGGCTGCAGCCATGCCCAGAACCAACTGGGAAAGACAGGTGCGGCGAGGGGTGAGTCTGATGTCGGGGCGACCACAACCCTGACTGAGCTCTCAGGTGGCTTGTCTTCCCTGCCGTGAGCCTGGATACCTGCGTGATCAGAGCGAAACCATTACCGCTACTTTTGGTGGGGGCAGGAAGGGGCCAGGTGGCCACGCCATGGTCACCGCCCCCTGGGAGAGGTGAGGTGGCCCCGAGGACAAGGCTTTGGGCCCAGAGGCTGGCCACCTGCCTTTCAGATGCTCAGTGATGAAATTTGCAGCCCAGTAGAACATCTAAGAGTTTCAGTTTCTGCGAAACGAGGGGGTTGGCACAGATGCTGAGATCCCGCCCAGCTAGGGAACTTCTAAACCATTAGGCCAAATATGGGGAGGGGCCCATCTGCCAACCACTGGCTTCTCTGTTGTCCTCCAGCATCTCAGACAGCGCTGGGGCTGGGCTTGGACCAGCCCCGAAAGGCAGGACTCACCAGGGCTGGAGGGACACAGGAAGCAGGGTGGCAGACACTGGCCACCCTTTGAGAAATGCTGATCAAATACATGGGACAGAGAAGGAAGGTTCCAGGCCTCCAGCTTTGGTTGGATTGGCTCAATGCGGGGTCGTCTGATTTGGCAAATGAAGTCAGGACACCCTGTTAAACCTGAATCTGAGATAAGCAATGAACATTTTTTTAGTATAAGCATGTGTTGTGCGACACTGGAGACACAGTGGTCCTGAAATATCATTTGTCATCCTGTATTTCATCGGACCATATTAGGTGGGAGGCTTGCCAGGAGGCAGTGGCTTTGGGCTTCTGGGGATTTTGGCACCCCCTCAAGTGTCCCTTCCACACGAGTCTCTTTTTTTGGGCGGAGTCCACCCTGCCCAGGGTCTCCCCAGGCCCCAGAGTGGAAAAGACCCCTGCGGTTCCCCACTCACTCTCCCCACCTGCACACAGTGGTGTGTGTAGATCTCCTGGTCTCAGTGTGCCACCTGTTTCCTGTGGGGACCCAGCTTGACACCCAGAGTGGAACGACACCCAGAAGGTTCTCAGGGTTATTTATTAAATGGGAATTGGTTTAAAACAACAACAACAACAACTAAATATGTTATGGGTACTTGCGGCTCAAAGGTATGGAATGAATGAGGCTATGCAAAGTCCCGGTTCTCAGGGGACCCACACTGTCAAGGAAGGAAACAGCAACTCTGAGCGAGACAGCAGAGCAAAGGGGAGTTAGAGCCACCCCCCCGCCCCGATCAGACCCTGGTCCTCCCCTGGCCCTTCACCCTCCCACCTCCATCTCTAACCAAGCCAGCCGAGAAATCAGATGTTCCCCTCTGGCCTCTTCAAGGAGATGTCCTGGACATTGTGCTCTTGTAGGACATACAGAGCCTTCGAGATAATCGTGGCGGAACAAAGTTGCTTCCTGAGGCAAATGCTGCCCGGCAGACCCCGCCTCGGGCCCCATTCCTGGGGAGAGGGGCAGAGGCGATGGTCCTCGGCTGGATCCTTCAGGTAACAACTTGGTTGAGACCCACCACCCGCTGGGGATGTGCCAGCTGGGACAGAACATCCAGCACCAGGTATCTGGTTTCAAAAGCACCTCGGTAGTCATGGCAACGGTCCACCGGCCAACCCTTGAGGCTCTAGGGACACTCAGGAGACACGGAACAGATGCATGTGGGCTGCCCATACCAAGGAGCCATTTGGCAGGGAAAGGGCGTCCTCTCCTCTCCACCCTCACCAGTGTCTTTAAAGACCAGATGCCTTTTAGGTGACAGAGGAATGAAACTGGTGTCTAAGGAACACGTTAACAAACAGGAGAGAGTGCAGAGAGTTGGTCTCCACAGGGTAACTCCAAAGCAGAGTCCTCAGCATCTGTCAGGGTCTCCCACCCCTGGGTGGGCCTGCTGGTTCAGACATCATCATCTGCATGAAAAGCGCGCTTCAGGGCTGAGAGATGCCAACTCCAGGGCCCGTGAACCTGAGATGCCATCAGGAGAATCATGGTTCCTAAAGGCCCCAGGTTTCTCCATGGGTGACAGACACTTGACACTTCAGTAACCCTAGCTGCTAAGGACATCTAAGCCATCCCCTGGCTCTGAGGGAAGAGTCACCAACAACATTCTGTTGAGAACTCAACTTTTGTGTTTCTTGTGGGTGTTTCTTCATCTAGATGCACCTCGCCTTGTTCCACAGAGGATCTGAAGGGATGTGGCTTCCTGTGACCTGCTGTCAGCCTGGCAGTCACAGACGTCATGGTGAATTAGTGCTCTGGCCTTTGGATTTCCCCATCAGTCTGCTAGGTGTGTGTTTAATATGGCTCCGTCTCCCTGAAGCCAGCTACCTCTGGGGATACTCACTGGTAACCCCAGTGCCTTGCCCGGCACACTGGTCAGAAGCTTGCCCTTCCTCCCAGTCGCCTGCCCATGCTTGGAGCCAACATCCCAAAGCAGACAACCATTGTCCAGCCAACTGTGAGTGTGATGGATTTCTTGGGGGTCACTTCCCCCCAACATTTTATTTTGAAAAGTTTCAAACCACAGAAAAATTACAAGACCAGTACAATGACCCCTACATCCTTGGCCCCTAGATATTTGCTCCAAGCCTTTGAAAGTAAGTTGCAGAAAGCATAACATTTCATAAAATCGAATGCTCATATTCATAATACTGAAGCCTGTAACTTCAAAGGCAAGGACAGCCTTCCTTGTCATCACCCTGTCATCACACCCAGGACACTGAACACTGATGACTGCCATCGGTCAGTGCATGTAGATATTGGGGAGGGGGTTGGTGGTCATAAGCCCCTTCTTCCCACACTTGGACGCATCTTCTCCGTAGGTGGGCACCTTCGGCAGGTGTGTAAGTGGGTTAGGAACAGGAAGGCAAAGTGGAACTGAAGCACGTCACAGACTTTGGACCAGAAGTGGCCTGTGAGCTGCTGGAAGAGACGCCACTGCGCGAGCTCATGGTCATAAAGCTTGAGGACCACAAAGCCAAGGCAGGAGAGCATGCCCAGAGCCAAGTACGTTCCCGAGGAAGCGTTGCCATGGCACCCCTGGGTGTGCAGGGCCTGGCCCACAGCAGCTGCAATGTGCAGGCCCAGCGCCAACTCAAACCCACGGGGGTGCAGCAGGGCCAGGCTGTAACTGCACAGGGAGAGGCCCTCGACAGCCAGAAAAAGCCAGGGCTTCCAGCCCCTGTCCAGGCAGAGGCACCAGGCCACTGGCCATGCGAAGATGGGTAAGGTGAGCCACTGGTCCAGCACAGCAGTGGGCCGTGTCTGCATCCCGATGCGCAGCCACTGGACCGGGCCATAGACCAGGGCCATGCCTGCGAAGACGTCCTTCAGGTAGCGAGCCCTTTGCCTCTCTGCGAGGCCTCCTGGGGCACAGGCCTGGCTCCGCAGCCAGTACACCCCCAGGAAAACGTAGCCCATGTTAACGAGGGAGTTGAAAGGCATGGCCAGGAAGGCAGGGAGGCTGGTGACCGGGACTTCCGCGTAGTACTCATAGCCCACTTGGACAGAGACACGTTCAAAAATACCAGTGTGGACGGTGGCCACGCAGAGGCAGCTGGCCAGGGCCACGTGGAAGAGGGCCTGCCCCGACTCAGGCTTCATCTGGAACCCTAGGTGTGGCCCCAGGATGGAGAGCTTCACAAAGCAGCCGCCTTGGCTGTTATTTCAGAATTTGGATAAACGGTTTCTTTTTTTTTTCTTTTTTTGCAAAACACTCCTCAGCCTCCCAGCTGAGCCAGCAGGAAGAAGTCCCCGTGATTTCCGACGCAGATGCTGCGACCTTGCCCCAGTGGAGGTAGCGGCCCCGAAGAAGGCAGCGGTTCTGCTGATTGGTTGGCACCAGTGGAGGCCCGTTCTGCCTTCTTCCTTTGTGGTTACAAAAAAGAGTGTGGGTAGAAAGAAAACCATCCAAAAAAGCGCCTCCATCTTCCCAATTCTCATCCTCAGGCTCTACCAAAGTTTTCTTTTTTTTTTAGTTCTACCACTTTATTGCTACCAACCCATCTCCCTCCACCCTCGTGCACACACACTCAGTCATGTAACCTCATGGACTTCAGCCCGCCAGACTCCTCTGTCCATGGACTTTTCCAGGCAAGGATACTGGAGTGGGTTGCCATTTCCTTCTCCATCTACCAAAGTTTTCATCATGACCCTCTCTCCTGACACCTATGCTGTTCTTCTTTCATCTGCATATTATGAAAAATCCTGCTCCTCATCTCTGTTCCCCTAGAGCCACTGCATTTAGAGACTTAAATCTTCCCTAGGTCTGTTGTTAAAACTCAGGATATGCTTTCTCACCTCTGTGGTACTACAAATGTGGAGTTTTCCAAGCCAGTCCCAAAACACTTTGAACTAAATTCCCAGTTAAATTAGAGACATTAGCTGTGGTCCAGATTCTGGAATCTAAGGCAAGGGAATGGTGGGGCGGGTTGGGGGTGCAGACAGGAAGGAAGGGCTCGGCTGCTTAGTGGGTTTGAGGCCAGGTAGCAGAGGGAGCCATCCCCCCAGGCCTGCCAACCTGGGTCACCCCCTCCCCTGCCCTCCCCGAAGTGCCACACCTTCCAAAATCACCTTCTGTCCTTGGCTCACGCGAAAACCGTCCATTTCCTGAAGTCACGGAAGCAGACAGATAATTCAAAAACAATGTGGACTTTTCATGGACTGTCAACTGTTCTGGGGCCAGCTGTGGCATGAGTGGGCCTCGTTGCCAAGAAATGTATTAATATTAACAAGAGAAGAGGTTTGGTGTCCTGAAGATGACTCAAAGCCAAGCTGGCAGGCAAGCACACGGGTGTGGGGATGAGAAGAACTGTCTGTGGTCAAACCCTGGCTCCCCAACCTACTAACCCTGTGATCTTGGGCCTTAACCCTTCTGGGCCTCAGTTTGCATACCTGTAGAATGGGGATGTACATCCTAGCAGAGTTGTTGTGTGACCTACATGAGTTCTTAGGTATGCAGACCACTGTTTATTTTTGAGGCCCCTTGTCCCCTCCTGCGGTTTAGGCCCTGAAAGGGCAGGGCCTGGTCTGATCTTGGGCCCTCCCTCCCATGCTTAGCAAAGACCTGCTAATTTCAGTTCAAGCACAAAGTTAGCACCTCTCCTCTGTCCTCATCCTGTTTGCCATTTCATTGCTCTGACTGGCCCTGGGGCCCACCTGTAAGATCCAGGAAGTGGCTGGCTGGGCCTCATGGTGACCCTCTTACTCCCCTCCCACCTCCGGGAGGCCTGTTGTTAAGGGGAACAGCATTTCCATGAAGGAACTGAAGCCCTTGTCCTGACCCTCATCTCAGCCCATGCCACTGTCGTGCACCTCCCTGTTGCAGCCTCTGGTGAAGGAAGAGTCTTTAAGTCGGGGGGCTGTCCTTCCCCCAGGGTTCCCACTTACAGGCTCGCCACCACTCACGTGGTCTGCACACAGCAGCCGCCAGCAGCCCCCTCAAGGACCGCCCCTGTTTAACACCCTTCAGTGGCTGGCTCTCGGCTCACACGTGATCATGCCCCAGCCTTTTGGCCAGACACCAAAGTGCCATGCTCATACAGTCCTGTGAGTTCCCAGGCATAGTCTGTCTTCCTGCCCTCCTCTGCCTGGCCTGCTGAAGCCCTCAACTCAGCTCTCACTTCCTCTCCAGCACCAGCACTTCCCCACTCAGCTCCCGAGTCCAGCGGGGACACCAGCTGAGGCCTCACCTGGTGTCTCCAGGTCCTCCCCTGACCCCACCCAGGGTCTGAATCCCTGGTGTGAAGAGCCAGGCTTCTGGGGCCCCAGGCCTCCAGCGCTAGCCTGACCCTCCTGTCTACCAGCCAAGCATGGAGGAGAGCTGCGGACAGGCAGTCCAACACTGTCCGCTTGCTAGAGGAGGTGCAGGAAGGGCGTTGAAAGGGACTTCTCTCCAGCCACTGGGCAGAGGTTGCTTGAGCCCTTGTGCAAGCTGAAAGCGACATGTTAGCAAACCAACTTCCCAAGTCCACTAAGAAGGCCAGGGCGGGTCTCTTATGGCCTAAGTCCTAAGCTGCTGTGACCCTTGTGACATGACTCTCAAAGTTCTTCCCAGTTTACCCTGCCTGGCACATGAAGGTCCAAGGGCTCACCAGCATCACCCTTTCCCCTGGTCTGGTTCTGGGCTCGCTGCGGTGGGAAGTCCTGTAAAACCCGACAATCCCCAGGCTGAGGGGTTAAGATACGTTCCTTAAACTCTTCTGCTTTCTCAGTCTGTATGCATTTAAGCAAGAGCCACTGTTGCCTGTCACAGTGGTGGCTTCTTTAACCTGTATCCCTTATGACAACTGCTTGTTGTGCCCATGACTACCCTGACCACTGTTGTTCCCTTTCTGCAGGTAAGGGGATGCCAGTCTGAAGGCTGTACCATGGGACACCAGCAGGAGAGCTCAACCTGAGCCACTGGATGCCCAAGGAGCTACCCATGGTAATTCTTGAACTCTGAGAACAGAATCCTTACATGTGGGCAAGGCTGCTGGGAACCTGCAGCTCAGTTTCCTTATTTGAGAGGGGAAGGACTTGGCCAGAGAGGTGGCGTGAATGGCCAAGGTCACTTAGGGCAGTTGGTGGCACAGAAACACAGGTGAGGGTTCTTGTCCCTTGACTATGTCACAGGACTCGTTGGCCTGTCCTCAAACAAATGCTTCCAAATCCATAAACTAAAACAGAGAATTACAGCACAAACTTAATATGTTTAAAGATAGTTATTAAAATATTTTTGATAATGTATAATATAGTAATAAACGTGCTTCTTTACTAACATGTTAAATTACAGGATCTATGGGCAGGTTGAATAACTACAGTAATTTCAAATGAGTTATTCTGCAGTAACTTGCAGTTTAGCTAACTTTCAGGCTATCTAAAAGAAAAGCTATATGATCTCAAATGTCATTTCCCTGGTGACACAATCACCAGGTTAACGCTCCGTGCTTTGTTACCTACACTTTAGTTGCGGGAAAAGCCAAATTTTGCCTAGAGGCTGATAAATGTAAAGATCAAATAAAAACGAGAGAAACTAGAAAAACCATCTGTTGTCATTCCAAGATCCCGGAAAGCAGCGCATTACAGCCTGCACCATCTGGGAGTGAGCTTGGGGCGACGACCAGACTGGCTCCTGCAAGATTTGGAACATCAGGATGATGTACCCACCTCTCAAGATTGTTGCGAGAACTTACAGTATTGGCGCGAAAAGGCCAGCGATCACCATCCGGGTATTTTGCCCCTCTTGCTTTGCTGGGGGAAATTCAAATCTCAAAAAAGGGCGGACCCTAAAGGCGGTTGTGCGCCTGCGTGCGGGGCGGGACCCAGGGCTCTGGGAAGCAGGCGGGGCGGGGTGACGTGAGGCGACGCGGGGCGACGCGGACCTCTCCCGCGCCCGCTCGCTCGCCTCCAACATCGCCAGCCTGGCCGCCCGCCCGGCGGGCAAAGGGGCGGGGGCCGGCCCGGCGCGCGGTAGCCCGGTTAGTTTTCTTGGGGCGATGGCGGGGTCTCTGCGGCGCCCCCACCTGGGGGCGGGGCGTGAGGCCTGGGAGCCTGGGAGGGCTCCGCCCCCAGCGTCGCGCGCCAGGTCGCGTTATCGCCCACGCTCGCCCCGCCCCCGGCTCCCCCCAGTGGCGGGCTTCGGGCTGCTTCCCTGTAGCCAGCTGGGTGTGATGAGGGAAAATGTCCGCTCCCCGATCCGAAGCCTGATTTTAGTGTCTCCCATCAGGCACTCTCTGCAACCTGTGTCCTGTCCCCACTGCTAGTTAAAACGATTCCTCTGGCGAGTGTCCCTTCAGCGACCCGGGGGGCAGTTCCCAAGGGGGCGGGGCCAATCGCGTCTGAGGCGTTCTCATCCGGGCATTCCCCAGATGCCGCAGCCGCCATCTTTGTTTTGTGCTGAAAGTCGCTATTGACGCCCGCGGACGGCCGGGCGAGGGGAAGTGGCAAGATGGCGGCTCCCAGAACGGAGGCGTGGAGGCGCGCTTCGGCAGCAACAGAGCTGGGCACGCCTGTGCCTGACCCGAGCGCAGCCTGACCTCAGGCCTAGCGTGCAGCGGCCCCGGTCCCTTGCCGCGAAACAGCGCGGAGTTCCTTTAACGGGCCTTAGCCCGGAGGAGAAGCCTGCGAGGGCGGGGTGTGTGGGGGGGGGGGGGTGAAAAACAGTGACGTCGTCCGACTCCGCCCCCTCGCCCGACCACCGCTGCCGCCATGTTTAGTTGTTACTTCTTCGCACAAGATGGCGGCTCCCACGGAGGAGGCATGAGCGCCCTGCCGTTACCGCTCCTCCTGCCGTACAGTTGCCACTTCGGGGCCTAACTCTGCCTTTTTGAAGCGGCTTCTGTGGAAAGGAGTCATAAAGAGGAAAGCGAAGATCGGACGCTGCCTTGCGTTTGGTTTGCAGTGGAAGAACTGACCCGGGAGGAAGAGAATAGGGGGGAAGGGGGAGCTAGCTTCAAGATGGCGGCTCCCAGGGCGGCAGGCGCAGCCTGAGCAGCAGAGGCGGACTAAGGGTAGACGCTCGAGACCTCACGAGCCATACGGGGCGAGTATCTGAGCAGCCCTCAAGAACTCAAGCTCGTTTCACTGGCCTCTGGCGCGCCTCTATTCCTTACAAGTGTCGAGGCTGTTAAGGGAAAGGCCTCTACACTAAGCGCTGGGCGGGGAAGCGGGACGGTCTCAAGATGGCGGCTCCCACAATTGTGGTGTGAGCGCCGGCGGGGCTGAGACAACCGCTGCGCTTGTGGCTCCTTTCCACCCGCCCCGGAAGCCGGCCAGTGCAGGGGACTCGGGGGGTGTGGGAACCGGGCCGGGGCTCCGCCATTTCCGGCAGGGGAGGGCTACGACTGAGGAAGGGAGGAGAGAGAGGCTGCTCAAGATGGCGGCTCCCAGGGTCTCCCGCTCGAGCCTGTAAGTGGGAGCTCCCAGGCAAGTAGTCAGGGCGGCGGGACTCGACGGCCTCCAGCTTCTCGGGTCCAGTCGCTTGACAGTTTCAAGAGGCTCTTGACAAGACCTGGTAAGCGAGAAGAAGGGGAAGAGGAGAAGGGAAGGAGAAAATAGTTAAGATGGCGGCCTCCATGGAGCCATCCACCGCTGTGTGAGGAACAGTTTCTCAGTGAGAGCCACCTTAGACGAAAAGGGGTGTGTGTGAGTGGAATTGGGGGGCTTCCTTCCCACTTGGCGACTTTTCTCCACCGCGCCCTTTCCCGGAACTATGGCTTCGGCCGTGTCAGCCGCCAACTCGCCAGCGGTGCTCTTGCAGCCCCGTTGGAAGCGAGTGGTGGGCTGGTCGGGTCCAGTGCCCCGGCCCCGCCACGGCCACCGCGCCGTGGCCATCAAGGAGCTCATCGTGGTGTTTGGCGGCGGCAACGAGGGGATAGTGGACGAGCTGCACGTGTACAACACGGGTGAGTGCAAAGCCCGCTGGGTCCTCGAATCTTTCCCTCCCTCCATCTCCTCCCTCTCCCTCCTTTCCTCTCCTCCCTCCTCCTTCCCTCCTCCCTTTCTCTCTCTCCTTCCTCTCCTCCCTTCCCTGGCTGCCCTCTTCCCCCCTCCTCCCATTCCCTTCTCCAGCCGCACGGGACTCCCCTCCGAGACCCTTTGCTCTGCATGGCTTGTCTGTTCTGCCCTGCTCTTGTCCCCATCCTGACACCCCTGCTTCTCCTGCCTTCGAAGGGGGTGTCTTTAAGTATTGGAGAGGAACCCTCTAGGCCAGCTGGTGAGGGAGCGGGGGCGGCGCCCGCGGTGGTGACTTCAGACAAGACACCGTTACCCCCGCCAACTAGGCGGGCGGATGCGTCCCTTTGGCGCAGAGTCCCACCCCCTTCCCCCCCCAATGCCTGCTAGACTCTTCCTCATCTCTGGTGCGGTTTGGGGAGCAGTGACAACTTTTCGATGACAGATGAGGTCGCCGCCTCGAGAAAAGGGGCAGAGTTGAGCGGCCTCAATCCTGACCCGGGGACGGGGTGGGCAGGCGGTGTGCCACACTGGGGAACTGTCGTCCTGGGGCCCCACAAATCCGACGACGCTGCCGTTCCCCACTTGCAGTGTCGACTCCTGCAGTGTTTCCCTTCCCATGGCCTGTGGTATGGATCTGGGGCCTTTGGCTAGCAGAGAGGGATTAGTTGCGGTCATCGTGCAGTGGACCGAGGGGGTTACCCTGCCCATTCCCAGGCCCCCCCTAAACCTGAGGCTGGGTTCATTGGGAGGAGTCAGGTGCAGTCAGAGTCGAAGACCGCGGTGTGTCCGTGCCTCCGGGTGTTGCCACCAGGCTGACTTGCCATGGTCCTGTTGTCTGGTGCTCCTGCTTGGTCTCTAGAACTTCGCCGCATTCTCGTGCGGCCCCCTCCCCCGTGGTGGCCAGTTGGTACACCTGGTGCCTTAGTGGGCCCCAGCTGCCTGTTGAATGGAGGCTGGCCCCGGGAGAGGGACTAAGCGTTCTCACGGGGGGCAGTGGGCCTGGGCGCCTTGCGTTCCGTTCCGTTCCAGAGCCTGAGAGGCGGAGGCGGGGCTGCTGCAAACCCCCTCCCAGCTCATCGTGTGCTTTTAGCAAGCTCTCCTCCACAGCTCCAGGTTGCTTTGGGGTCAGCCGCGGCCAGGGTCTGGCTTCTAACGCATTTCCCCCGCGCCAGCTCATCTGCCAAATTACTTTGGCCACCTAGCCGTCCTCTCCCAGGGTTCTGGTGGGCCGGGTCCTCGGGTCTGGGCACCCCGTGTTCTTCCCCCCACCCCCGCTGCCGCCGCCCCCAACTCTGAGGTTGCTCTGAGCTAGGCTGTTGGTCGGTGCGCTGAGGGTTGGACCCGAGCTTTCCCTCTGTTGAGTGCTCCCCGCCCGCGCCTCCCCGGAGGCACAGAGTTCAGTGTGCTTGCGTCTTGTAAGTGGTTGACCCTCCAAAGTTGACTTTCCGAGGCTGGTGGGTTGCTGGTGGCCCTTCACATTCTGGGTCGGAGCACCTGTTGCCTCCGGGGAGGCTGGGCTGGCTGCCAGCTTGGACAGCTGCGGCCGCAGCGATTAGCCCAGTAAGGGAAGGCCGAGGGGCAGGGCTGTTTTTAGAGAGGCCAGTGTGCTCAGCAGAACCTCCTCAACCCCTTGGACCACCTTCCTTCTTGTAAGGCCTGGAGCAGGTTCCTTGGCATGGAATGCCAATTTTAGAAAGTAGGCCAGGGGCCTAATTACCATCAGCTCCAAAGGCCACTGCTTCTTGGGGCCTCTGTGTCGACACGCGTGTATTAAACTGATTCGACCATTTTGGCATTCACTCGTTCCCCCTCTGGAAGGGTGGTAGTGGTAGTGGGAGCCAGCCTTCCGAGGGCCCCAGCCCTGGATTCCTCCAGGGTACCAGTTCAGAAAGTGCCCTGAGAACTCCCTTGGCGACTTCTCGCCGCTAGTGAATGCGGCTCTCTGGTCCTCACCGCTTGTTAGTGTTTCCTGTTTGACAGAGCCTCGAGCTTCTGCTGTTCTCAGAGAGCCAGGCTTGGTGTGGCCTCTCTTCCACCAGCCGGGGCACAGATGCCCAGCATCCTTCTTAGGGCATCTTTAGTGCCGCCTTAACAGCCGGCCTCCTGCTTACCTTGTGTCTTGTGTCTTAAATGAGGTCAGAGCATATTCTCTAGCTTCTCTTTCTGTAAGAGGAATGCTCAGAGAGACTCATCGTTCAGAGAGAGTTCCCAGTTGCTAAGACAAAAGACCCTAGGGGGCACGTGCCTGCTTTGCCATCTCAGGCAGCTCAGAGATCGGGGGTGATGGGGCTGGGGGTGGCAGGTGTGCACTGAACTGGAAGGGGGTGCATGAGGAAGTGTGTGTTCTTCCGCCTTGGTGGCCGTGGAACACTTCCCCGGCTTTTGGGAGGCCCATCCTCAACCTCAGGGAAGTTTCTGGCGACACCAAAGTGGATCACCCAGGGGCCCTGGCCCTGACACGGTGGGGTGAGCCCTGGTGTGGGGAGGCTGTGGCTGCTGGGCGAAGCAGCAGTCGAGGCGGGTCTGCCTCAGTGGTTCTCCAGCGTCCCCAGCTGATGACGCCAGAAGGAGCCTTGGAAAGTGGCTAGTGAAACTTCCTCATTTTCACACACACGGACCCTGGGGTGTCAGGCGGGACGTGCTGGGTCCAGGGTCACCCTGTTGGCTCTCTCGGCCTTCAGTTCGGTTATTAGGTCAGGCCCCCGCTTTGGGGATACTTCCCAGGCGTGTTCTCCTTGGGGCTAAGTGGTTACTAAGTTGAGCTTATCTCCAACCTGTTCACCCTCTGTTCCTGGCCTTTCGCGTTCTCACAGGCACTTCCTGCCTGGCCCCGCCGGTTTCACTTGTTGGGAAGTCCTGTTCAGCCTTCAAGGCCCTGGCTCCCACGTCACCTCTTCTGAGAATCATCTCCCCCACTCCGTGCCTCCTAGCACCTGCCACCGCCTGCATCATGCAGGAAGCAGGGCGGGGGGGGGGGGTGGTGGGGGGCGCTGGGCCACTTCCTCCGGGGTACAGGCAAGCCAGAACTGAGCGGGACGGAGGGACCTGCAGGGGTTGTGCACCACCCACCCCCCCTAGATGAGTGAGGGGTAATAGGATTAGGGGACAGTTGCCATCTCAGAGCAGAACCGGGCTTCAGCCCAGAACCCGCGCTGCCTAACAGCCTGCTCTTGGCTGGAGTGCTCTAGAACGAGGTCAGCCACTCCTGGGTGCTGCAGAATGAGCTCTTGGGATGTCACCAGTCCCTTTCACCCAGCCCCTGAATTGGATGGCAGATGACCCGACACCTGTGGGCCCATCCCTTTCCTGTGTAGCCTCCCCCCGGTCCTCAGGGAGGCACCTGGCAGTCCCTTTTACTCGGGGACAGGGTTCTTGTCTCGTGTGTCTGTATGACCCTGTGAGCTCTGGTCAGTTACTTCCCCTTTTGGCCTCTGTTCCTGTGTCCAGTTTTAAAAAGCTTGGTGGTTCAGATGGTCAAGCATCTACCTGCCATGCGGGAGACCCGGGTTCAATCCCTGGGTTGGGAAGATTCCCCTGGAGAAGGAAATGGCGACCTACTCCAGTACCCTTGCCTGGAAAATCCCATGGACAGAGGAGCCTGGTAGGCTATAGTCCATGGGGTTGCAAAAAGTCGGGTGTGACTGAGCGACTTTATTTTCTTTCCCGTGTCCATGGAGGGAGGTTCAGAGGTCTGTGTCGGCATTTATCATGGGAACTTGAATGTAGCTCCTTTGGATGCTGTGTGAGCCATCTCCCCCCAGTTTGTGTAGGGCTGAGGGCTCAAGCCTGGAAAGCTGCTGCTCTTCTCGGTTTGTTTTTGCACCTTGAGGAAGGATAAGGCTGATCTCCAGACTCTGGGGCCAGGGTGCACGGAGCAGGCAGGGGAGACGGAGGGGAGTGCTGGTTGTCCCCAAGGCCCAGTGACTCCCCTGAACCGAGGGTGGGACCCACAGCCCGTTCCAAACAGCTGTGTCCACCTGGGAAGTGGCCAGCCAGGGTGCCTTTATGCCAGGAGGTGCAATGTGCTTTGGGATGGGGGGGCAGGCTTCTTCCCCCTTGAGGGTGAAGCTGTGGGAGTCCGGTTACCCAGTGTGGAGAGGGTGGTAGGGACTGGCCCCTGTCATGCCCTGGGAGGGGCTCCATTGGCGCTCAGGTCCCTTCCCTGCCCACCGTCTCCTCAGTCCCGATTTGCTCACCTGTGTTTGACCAAAACTGATGGAGGGGTGTGGAGTCAGGTTTGCAGCTGGCTGCTGGTTTGAGGTGTCTTGTGAGAGTGCAGTGTGTGTTTCAGGGGATGGCCCTTCAAATAATACAGGACAGGAGGAGTCCCTCCAAAGAGGGCAGTGTTTTCCCTGTGACTTTGCCAGGAAGCCCTGGCATGGCAGGCAAGGGATTGGTTGTCTGGGAGGTACGGGGGTGCCAGGCGGAACAGAGGCAGTTGGGGAGCTCCACCCTGGCTCGAGGCGGCGGACTTGAGGCAGCTTCCAGGGCTGGGAGGCTGCCCGCCACCGCCTCTGCCCGTGTTCTGGAGGAGGGAGCTGTGGACTGTCGCCGGGGAAACTGTAGCAGAGCTTGAGCATGCCCCCACGGCTCTCCTGGACCTGTACTCGGGTTGCTGCCCCTGGCCTGCAGCATTCGCTCTTTCAGCCACTGAGACGTGCAGCCTGCCGTGGGCCTCCGGGAGGGTAGCTTGGGTATTAGATGTTTCTTTCTTTCCAAGTCCCCATAGAGTGGCAGGAGGTGGCCGCATCCCCAGAACCTGACAGATTCTCTTGTCAGTGACTTCCTGCTTATTAAGATGACTATGATGAGAAGCAGGGTGACTTTGGGGTGGTCTCTGAGACCAAAGGGTTTGGAAGATGGCTTAGAGGGTTGGCAGTTAGATGCTCAAAGGAAGAAGTCCCACATCTTGGGAAAAGAGGTGCTGTCTTAGCCTGTCCTTTCTTGGACTGTATTTTGAAGGCTGGTGGGTTTAGGGAGGCAGAGGGGTGGTGGTTTTGGTTCTGGTGGCTCCCAGGGTGTTCTGACTTCTGCTAACTTTTGTCCCCCAGCGACCAACCAGTGGTTCATCCCGGCTGTGAGAGGGGACATCCCTCCTGGATGTGCAGCCTATGGCTTCGTGTGCGATGGGACACGCCTGCTCGTGTTCGGAGGGATGGTGGAATATGGGAAGTACAGCAATGACCTCTACGAGCTCCAGGTAGTGTCCTGCTTGTCAGAGTGGGGGCAGGCCCTGTGCCACCCAGACCTTCTTACCCTAGTCAGCTGCACCCTCCCACCCCCAGCAGCCCCTCCGTATGTGACAAACAACCCAACTCACCCTTGAGTTAATCACTGAGCCTTGATTTTGCAGGCAAGCCGGTGGGAGTGGAAGAGACTGAAAGCAAAGACGCCCAAAAATGGGCCTCCTCCGTGTCCTCGGCTCGGGCACAGTTTCTCCCTTGTGGGCAACAAATGTTACCTGTTTGGGGGTCTGGCCAATGATAGTGAGGACCCCAAGAACAACATTCCGAGGTGAGGCTTTGTCCTGTTCGTGTGGAATCCCATGAAGGCTGGGGTGCTTGCCCACACAGCAGTCAATTTTGCTGTACCAGGTCCCTTTCATTTGTGAAACAGGAGGGTTGGTTCCCCCAACCTTGCCTTGGGCTGGTTCCTGCTCCTCAGACCCAGTTTAGAGCTGGTCCTTCTCGGTGCCCGCAGGCTTCGTGATGGGTATTTTCCAAGGGCCTTTCTAAAGTCTGCAGGTAGTCCTGAGCTGGTGCTCCCTTTTCACCTCGGAGGTCCTCATGTCATGTCCAGCTTCGTGCAGGGCAGCTGAGCACACCCCATCCTGCTGCTCCCCTTCCACTCGCACCCCTCCTTAGGGATGAGGACAGAGGTAGAAGGATTTGGAGTTTGTGTAGCATTAGCCCCGCTTTGTCTCCTCAGGAGTCTGCCATTCCCTTGTCAAAGCGGGTGGCCTGCCCTAACCTGACCTTTCTTTTCCAGGTACCTGAATGACTTATACATCCTGGAACTGCGGCCAGGCTCTGGAGTGGTAGCCTGGGACATTCCCATCACTTACGGTGTCCTGCCCCCACCCCGAGAGTCTCACACTGCAGTGGTTTACACCGAGAAGGACAACAAGAAGTCCAAGCTGGTGATCTATGGAGGGATGAGTGGCTGCAGGCTGGGGGACCTCTGGACCCTGGATATCGGTACGACGTGGGTGTAGCTGCTCCCGTGGTCTAGGAGTGCAGCTGGGCAGCTGGCGTGGGGTGTTGTGGTGGGGCTGTCACAGAGGGGAGAAGTGTCCTGCCTCACACCCTACTTGTGACTGGGTCAGGATAGGACCTATCTGGGGCTGTCCTCTTTGCCCTGAGCTTGCAGTGTTTAAGAAAGCGCAAGGCTCTGTTGACCGAGTCGATCTGCTAGCTTGCAGTAGAGTGAGGGGAGAGGGAACGGCCTAGAATGACGGTGTGTGGGTGAGGTAGCACGAGGCCCTGTCAACTCGTCAGTGGTCATGGTGTTCTGGGAGCAGGGCCCCCTGGTCTATCCCAGTCAGAGGGGCTGCCCAGACATGGTGAGACCCCTAGGGGCTATTTGGGCAGGTCGACAGGCAAGGAATCAGGAGTTCAGGCTGAAAGGAGTTCAGGATTTTGACCTGAAGAAGGTAGAGGGGAAAAGGTGACAGACTGCACAACTACAGAGGGTTAGGTGGTCGTGTAGCGTTGCATCGGCATTCTAAAGAGATCATTTTGGGCACAGAAATTTCTAGCAGCCCTGGGTCTGTAGATGGTGGAGCTGATGGTGGGTGAGTGCCTCTTGAGGAGTGGGAGGTGTTATGGTGTGTCTGGAGGGTATGGCAATGGCTCCTACCCCCAGCCCCAGCCCTGGTTCATAGCAGGTGCTCAAGAAAGACTGCTTGGGAAGTGCCAGAGCCCGGTGATCAGGGGGCTTCTCAAGGCCTGTTGGGAGGCCAGGTGTGCAGTTCTTGTGCTGTGTTAATACCTGCTTTCCAGAGCCTTCCCCATGTCTGGGACACAGCCTGTGGGTCAAAGGGCACGTGTCCGACCCACTGTGAGTAACCTTCTCTTCCCACTGCTCCGCACAGAGACTTTGACATGGAATAAGCCCAGCCTCAGCGGGGTGGCACCTCTTCCTCGAAGTCTCCACTCGGCCACGACCATAGGAAACAAGTGAGTAGCCAGCCGTGGCTTTTTTCTCTTTGTAGCCCCCACCTCCCACCCCCATGGGCTCACAGTTTCGTTCCAGCAATCCCTGAGGCCTGAGGAGACCTTTCTTTGGTTGGGCTGGCATTCAGTAGCCCTGTCTTCCCCTTATGACCCTGGGGGACCAAAAAAAGAAAAAAAAAAAAAGAGGGTAGAGGGACACAGATTGTTCTAGATCCTCTGCAGCAGCAGCTGAGTGTCTTTGTCAATGCCAAGGTCCCAGAGTGAACGTAAGGATGATTGGGACAGAGTGGAGCTTTGGGTGAGCTACACCGAAGCTCTGTGCACTGGAGGTGACACAGTTCTTGTGAGGGCTGAGCCACCAAGGCAGAGAGGGCACGTTCAGAGCTTTGTGCGTCCTGGGGAGAACTAGAGGACCCGGGGTGTTCAGGACATTCTGGATGGAAGAGGCAGCCTCGAGCTTGGCACCTCGTCCACAACCATCTCCTACTCTTCCCTCCCTCGTCCCAGAATGTACGTGTTTGGTGGCTGGGTGCCCCTCGTCATGGATGACGTCAAAGTGGCCACACACGAGAAGGAGTGGAAGTGTACCAACACCCTGGCTTGTCTCAACCTGGGTATGGCCTCCTTGGGCTCAGTGCAGCCTGCAGAGGGCTGCGGGAGGCTGGCCCACCTCGGCCTGCGGGCTGTGTTGGGGGCGCAGGGGGCCGAGCTGCTTCTAGGCCGTGCCTCTGGAACTCCGCGAGGCGTAGCCAGTGGTCCAAGCGCCCTGAGGGATGCTCCTTGGCGTGTTTTGAATAGGCTCTTCCTCACTGGCATAACCATGCAGTGCCTCCCTCTCATTTCCTATTGGTGGTTTCTCACCCACCCTGCAGGGACCACGCTATAGATGTGAGCATTGCTTATAGGTTCCTTAAAAACGGAGCACACAGGACAGCGGCCTGCTCTACGCAGCGCAGTGCCTGGCCCTTGTGTTTTCTCTGTCCCGGAGACCATCCCATCCTCGCAGGGCAAGTGGCTCATTCTTTTGAATTGTGCTCGTGGTGTCAAAACTTGCACCGACGCTGCTCCGTGAGTATCCTTGCACCGTTCTCACCACGTTCAGGTGTATCCAAAGAGGGACAACCTAGAGGTAGCCTTGTTGGCAGGGGGATGTTACTGGACATGCAGATGTCCCTAGCGGTGCTCACCAGGCCGGCAAAGCATACGCTCTTCACCAAGCCCAGTAGGTGCTTGACTTCCCACGGGCCAGCTCCCGGTCCCCTCCCCTGGCTCACCCTCGACCCTGGCTGCAGCATAAGGAACATCAAGCTGCCAGGCACCTTCTGGGTTAAGTTTGCCTTTCTCTTATCTCGAGTGAGGGTATGTATTTTTCTTTTGAGATCTTCTGTCACTTTTTCCGTAACTTGCGTTCCTCTTTGCCCATCTCTTTCTAGAGGCTTTTGTATTGCTCCATGTGCAAGAAGGGGAACCTTTGACTGTGTCTTTTGTGTAGTTTTCCCAGTTTATAGTTTGTGGTTTCTAATTTTGTACGGTCTTTTTGCCATACAGAATTGTACTTTTTTTGTTTTTGTCTTCGTCTTACTTTAGTAATCTTGGATGACTTCCTGGTTTTAATTCCCCATCCCTGACAGCAAAAGGCCAAAGAGCCCCTGAGGGTTGTCGGTTCCTCTGTGCCCTGCTGACTTTCACATCTTTCCTCCCCAGATACCATGGCTTGGGAGACCATCCTGATGGATACGCTGGAAGACAATATTCCCCGGGCCCGTGCTGGCCACTGCGCAGTAGCCATCAATACCCGCCTTTACATTTGGAGTGGGCGTGACGGCTACCGAAAGGCCTGGAACAACCAGGTCTGCTGCAAGGACCTCTGGTACCTGGAAACAGGTAAGGCTAACTAGAGGAGAGCTTCCACACCCGTCCCCGAAGTGTCTGCCTCTCCCTCCTTACCAGTGATGCTCTCTTATAGAAAAGCCACCACCTCCAGCCCGGGTACAGCTGGTGCGAGCCAACACTAACTCCCTGGAGGTGAGCTGGGGGGCCGTGGCGACAGCCGACAGTTACCTTCTGCAGCTCCAGAAATATGACATTCCTGCCACGGCTGCCACTGCCACCTCCCCCACACCCAATCCAGTCCCGTCTGTGCCTGCCAACCCTCCCAAGAGCCCTGCCCCAGCAGCAGCCGCACCTGCTGTGCAGCCGCTGACCCAAGTAGGCATCACGCTCCTGCCCCAGGCTGCTGCCGCGCCCCCGACCACCACCACCATCCAGGTCTTGCCGACGGTGCCTGGCAGCTCAATCTCCGTGCCCGCCACAGCCAGGACTCAAGGTGAGCTGGGCGCTCGAGGGCAGGAACTGGCTCACCCGAAGGTGGCATGCCTGAGCGGGGCTTGCTAGACCGCACGGTTGGAGGCTGTTAGTGCAGACCAGAGGCTGAGTGCTGTTGCGGAGGCCTGGTCCTGACCCGCAGAGACTGTCCCCGAGCGGTGCTGGAAGGGCGGGAGCTGAAGCCCAAGCAGGTTCCCAAAGTTGCTCACTTCGGCCCCTTTTCTGAGCAGGTGTCCCGGCTGTGCTGAAAGTGACCGGTCCTCAGGCTACCACGGGAACCCCGTTAGTCACCATGCGACCTGCCAGCCAGGCTGGGAAAGCCCCCGTGACCGTGACCTCCCTTCCCGCAGGCGTGCGGATGGTTGTACCTACACAGAGTGCCCAGGGGACGGTAAGGAGCCAAGGCAGGGTGCGGTGGGACGTTCTTGGTAGTGGCGCACTGGCAGGGTTTGACTCCCACCCTGCGCTAGCACCTTTCATCCAGGGCCTGGAAAGTGCTGATGAGGCAACCTCAGCACTAACTTCAGGATTAGTAAGCTGACACCTCAGAATGGTCTCCTCACCATCTGATCTCAAGGGCATGTTAAATGTGTATTTTCTGAGGGGAGAAGCTAGCCAGCTGGGGTTTGACATGGGCCTGGTCAGTTGTGGGAGTCCAGATCTGGGGTCAGTAGAGCAGCGCCTGGCTGTACTCAAAGCCGAGAGGTGCTGCTCCAGGAAGCAGGGATTGGAGCCACCTCGGGCCTGGTGTTCCCTGTGGGTTCACACTCCTTGTGTCCCTTGCAGGTCATTGGCAGTAGCCCACAGATGAGTGGTATGGCTGCGTTGGCAGCCGCGGCTGCTGCCACCCAGAAGATCCCTCCTTCCTCGGCACCCACGGTCCTGAGTGTCCCGGCTGGCACCACCATTGTCAAAACCGTGGCCGTGACGCCGGGCACCACCACGCTCCCAGCCACTGTGAAGGTGGCCTCCTCACCAGTCATGGTGAGTGTCCCTTGGAGCTGGTTCTGAGCCCACAGCCTTGGGGCCGGGGGTTTCTGGATATCATCATTAGACAGTGGTCACTACTTCTGGCTTTTGGACCAACCATAGAGGATGGCAGTCCATGGTTGGTGCTTGGTGGGGGCTGGGGAGTAAGCTGGCAGCCATGGGGGTGTGGCTGCCTTGTGGCCAGACCTGTGGCCCAGTGACCTCCCTTGTTTCACTAAAGCAGAGGTAAATGAAACTGAGCTTGGTGGACATACACAAATGCGCAGGGGTCAGCTCTTCCCCCCGCCAGTTCTAGGTCGAGTCTGGGGTGCTTTCTGACCTACCCACCACTCTGCTCTGTGGTCTCCAGGTGAGCAACCCAGCTACTCGCATGCTGAAGACTGCAGCTGCCCAGGTGGGGACCTCTGTCTCTTCTGCCGCCAACACATCTACTCGTCCCATCATCACCGTACACAAGTCTGGGACTGTGACAGTGGCCCAGCAAGCCCAGGTGGTGACCACAGTGGTGGGTGGGGTCACCAAGACCATCACCCTGGTGAAGAGCCCCATTTCGGTCCCAGGAGGCAGTGCTCTGGTGAGTGACCACCACCAGGAGCACCCAGCCCAGGCCATGCCCTTGACTGGTCTTTGGATCACTATTTTTGGTGCTCTGTCGTTTCGTTTTTAGATTTCCAATCTGGGCAAAGTGATGTCAGTGGTCCAGACCAAACCGGTTCAGACTTCGGCAGTCACAGGCCAGGCGTCTACAGGCCCAGTGACTCAGATCATCCAGGTGAGCTTGTGGACCCTAGACTGGGACCCTACCTAGATGAGCTTGAGTGGCTCAGAAGGTCCTGTTGCTTGGTTCTGTCACTTGCAGTCTTCAGAATAGTCCAAGCTGCTTGGGCTGGCAGTGAATCCTGGCCAGACCAGACTCACCATTAAACTTGCAGTTCTTAAAAATGACAGATACATATGTGTATCACCGACCGACTCTGTTAGACACCTGAAGCTAGCATAGCATTGTAGAGCAACCAGACTTCAATTAAAATTCAACAATGACAACAAAGCCACACTTTGCATCCCAGCAGTGATGCCCATTCATCTCAGCCTTCCTCCCCCCATGTGTTTTCCCCTTACAGACTAAAGGACCCCTGCCAGCTGGGACCATCCTGAAGCTGGTGACGTCTGCAGATGGCAAGCCCACTACCATCATCACAACCACACAGGCCAGCGGGGCAGGGACTAAGCCTACCATCCTGGGCATCAGTAGTGTGTCCCCCAGCACCACCAAGCCCGGCACCACGACTATCATTAAGACCATCCCCATGTCGGCTATCATCACACAGGCGGGCGCCACGGGTAGGGGCCTTCCCCGGTGTGCTGGGGAGAAAGCAGGTGAGGGGGTAGCCAGTCTGCATCGTCTTTCTGTTGAGGTTTTCCTCTCTGCTCCGCCCTCTCTTTACCTCTTGTGTAAGATTTTCCCGTCTGCTCTGCCCTCTCCTTGCCTCTTGTTTACGATTTGTCAGGAGGTAGCAAGGGTATGGCTGCAGTTCGTACCACTTTGTTTTAATTGAGGGGCAACAGGCGTAACTGTTTTAAAAGAGGGCCCGGGAGAAGCGGGCCCGGGTGGGAGGCTGGCACTGTCGCCTGGCCCTTCCTAAAGCCAGGCTGCCCCCCTCTCCTCTAGGCGTGACTAGCAGTGCCGGCATCAAGTCGCCCATCACCATTATCACCACCAAGGTGATGACTTCTGGAACTGGAGCCCCCGCCAAAATCATCACAGCCGTTCCCAAAATCGCTACGGGCCACGGGCAGCAAGGAGTGACTCAGGTGAGGTGTGCCCGGCCCTGTCCTCCCCGAAGGTCCAGCCCGGGACTGCAGCAGACCACGCAAGGCCTGGGAGGGGCAGCAAAGGGTCTGCTCTGGCCATCCCCCAAGTGACACAGGGACCCTTTTCTCTGGTTTTCCAGGTGGTGCTGAAGGGTGCACCTGGCCAGCCAGGCACCATCCTCCGCACCGTGCCTATGGGGGGCGTCCGCCTGGTCACTCCTGTTACTGTGTCTGCTGTCAAGCCAGCTGTCACCACACTGGTCGTCAAGGGCACCACAGGTATGGAGGCCTTGGTGCAGGGCCGTGAGGGCAGGGTCGGGGTGTGCCCCAGCCCCACTCCGCCTGGGGAGAACAGCCACACCAGCCGTTGACCTCCTCCCACACCTGCCTCCTTCCCTGCCTCCAGGCGTCACGACCTTGGGCACAGTAACAGGCACCGTCTCCACCAGCCTGGCCGGAGCTGGGGGCCATAGCACCAGCGCCTCGCTGGCCACGCCCATCACCACGTTGGGCACCATCGCCACCCTCTCAAGCCAGGTGATCAACCCCACTGCCATCACCGTGTCAGCAGCACAGACAACGCTGACAGCGGCCGCTGGGCTCACCACGCCCACCATCACCATGCAGGTAGGGCAGTTGGAGCTGCAGTGTGCCGGCGGGCCCTTGGTTCCCCTCCCACATGTGGCACCTGTAGGATGGTTACTCTGGAGGTACATAATCACGATTCTTAGTCACTGCCTGCTAGTCTGTCAAGTTGAGATGATCTATCTCAGCCGTGTTTAGCGTTTGAGCACTAGGTTCTTTGTGCATCTTGAGCTGAATTCCTGGTGAAGTGGTGAAGCTGGCCTTGGCACAGCACAGGGTCAGCCAGGTTTTCGCCCCACCCCTGCCCAACTGAGGGCTTGCCCCAGCCTAGGCCTTGCTCTTCCACCCATTCCCGGTTCCTTTTCCCTGGTCCCTGAGCCAGTCAGTGTCTTGGAGTGAGGATGAGCAGGTCCTAGACTTGCCAGGGCTTTTGCTTTAGGTGCCAAGCCACTGGTCCCAGGGGGTACTGCAGGTTGGTGGCAGGGGCAGACGCAGGAGGATGGGCAGCAGCACTAACTCCCCATGTACCCTCTCCCCAGCCTGTTTCCCAGCCTACCCAGGTGACTCTGATCACGGCCCCAAGTGGGGTGGAGGCCCAGCCTGTGCACGACCTCCCAGTTTCCATTCTGGCCTCCCCTACTACAGAACAGCCCACGGCCACGGTCACCATCGCTGATTCGGGCCAGGGTGATGTGCAGCCCGGCACCGTGACCCTGGTTTGCTCCAACCCGCCGTGTGAGACCCACGAGACGGGCACCACCAACACAGCCACCACCACCGTCGTCGCTAATCTGGGGGGGCACCCCCAGCCCACCCAGGTGCAGTTCGTCTGCGACAGACAGGAGGCCACTGCTGCTCTTGTGACCTCCACAGTGGGCCAGCCGAATGGCAGCATCGTTCGTGTCTGCTCCAACCCGCCATGCGAGACCCATGAGACCGGTACCACCAGCACAGCCACCACCGCCATGTCCGGCATCGGAGGCGGGCCACGGCGAGACATCCGGCTCGCCTGCGCGGCCACCACCATTCCCACTGTAGTCCGGGTCAGCGTGGCTGCTGGGGCATCAGAGGGAGCCCAGGTTTCCATCAAGCCTGCGTGCCAAACCCGTCAGACCAGCGCAACCAGTACCACCATGACTGTGATGGCCACCGGGGCCCCGTGCTCGGCCAGCCCGCTCCTCAGACCAAGCGTGGCCCTCGAGGCCGCTGGCCGCGGTGCCACTCTCTTACAGCTGGGGCCCCTGAGTACCCAGGTCAGGCCCAGTGGCGAGGAAGGGTCCCTCGCCAGCCTGGGCCCACTGGTGTCCGTGGGGCGCCAGCTGGAGGTGCATCACACGCACACGACCAATACGGCCACTGTGGCCCGCTCTGCCATGGGTGCTGGGGAGCCCCACGAGCTGCTGGGGGCCCCCACACTCGTGTATGAAAGCTCAGCCAGCGCCTCTGTGACTGCCGCGGCTCTGGAGGCACTGCTGTGCCCCTCGGCCACTGTGACCCAGGTCTGCTCCAACCCCCCGTGTGAGACCCACGAGACGGGTACCACCCACACGCCCACCACGGCCACGTCCGGAGGGGCTGCAGGCCAGCCAGAGGGTGGGCAGCAGCCTCCCGCCAGCCGGCCCTGTGAGACACACCAGACCGCTTCCACTGGCACGACCATGTCCGTCAGCTTGGGTGCTCTGCTCCCAGATGCCACCCCTTCCCACAGGACCCTGGAGTCCAGCCTGGAGGTGGCGGTGCCGCCCGCAGTCGCCCCCCAGCCCGGCGCTTCATTGCTCACTCCTTTCCCGACGCAAAGGGTGTGCTCCAACCCGCCCTGTGAGACACACGAGACAGGCACCACACACACGGCCACCACTGTCACCTCCAACATGAGTTCCAATCAAGGTAGGTGGACGCAACCAGCCGGGTCCCCACAGGCTCCCAGGCCCAGGGCTCACCAAGAAGCCTGCAGTTCAGTTCTGTGCAGCCCGGTTGCATGGTATGGGCAGGTCTTCCAGGCAGCCAAGTTCTCTGGTGGCAGAGCTGGGTGGTAGCCCTGCTGGAGGAGGGCCTGTCACCCCGTTCTCTGGTTGCCCCACCAGACCCCCCACCGCCTGCCGGCGACCAGGGAGAGGTGGAGAGTACCCAGGGCGACAGTGTGAATATCGCCAGTTCCAGTCCCATCACGACAACAGTGTCCTCCACGCTGACACGGGCTGTGACCACCGTGACACAGTCCACGCCAGTCCCAGGCCCTTCGGTGCCGGTAAGAGCCCAGGAGGGTCCCTGCGACCTGGAGCGCCTGGGCCCATGTTGTTTCTGAACTGGACGCCAGGTGGCGCTGTTGCTCCAGGCACGCGCTGCTCCTGGCCCTGTTTCCAGACCATAAAAGGGCAGTTTCTCGCCTAGGCAGGGCACAGGAGGCCCCAGTCCTTGGTGGGTGTCCTGTGGGTGATTTTATTGCTGTAGCTGGTTCCTGTGGCTCATCACTTGGCTATGGAGTGGCACAGGAGAAGTTGGTGGGCCCCTTTCGTGAGACCAAGGGGTCTCTCTCGGGTTGGGTTAAAATGGGCCAGTGGGTCAGAAGTCTCGCCTTCTCTTGCCATGCCTCCTGCCGCTCAGTGATGTACTGTCCCTGTCTGTCAGGCAGGGTTATGGCAACCCATTGAGAATGCAGATCCCGACCCACAGGGAAAGATGAAGGTCTGCCTGGTTTCTGTCTTCCTCTCCTCCCCTCTGACAGGGCTTCTCTCCCTTTCTAGAAGATCTCATCTGTGACTGAGACTGCCCCAGGGGCTCTGACCACCGAAGTCCCCATCCCGGCCACGATTACAGTGACCATAGCCAACACAGAAACTTCTGACATGCCCTTCTCTGCTGTTGACATCCTGCAGCCCCCAGAGGAGCTCCAGGCCTCGCCAGGGCCGCGCCAGCAGCTTCCGCCACGGCAGCTCCTGCAGCCTGCCTCCGCGCCCCTGGTGGGGGACTCCGCCGAGGTCCTGTCAGCCTCCCAGAGCCCTGAGCTCCAGGCCGCCGTGGATCTGAGCAGTACAGGGGACCCGTCTTCAGGCCAGGAGCCTGCCAGCTCGGCTGTGGTGGCCACTGTGGTGGTCCAGCCACCGCCACCCACCCAGTCTGAAGTAGACCAGTTGTCCCTCCCCCAAGAGCTGATGGCTGAGGCCCAGGCGGGCACCACCACCCTCATGGTGACAGGGCTCACCCCAGAGGAGCTGGCAGTGACTGCTGCTGCTGAAGCGGCCGCACAGGCTGCAGCCACAGAGGAGGCCCAGGCCCTGGCCATCCAGGCCGTGCTCCAGGCTGCACAGCAGGCTGTCATGGGTAAGTGCTGCACATACGCCAGCTGGCTCAGCAGGCTATCCTCACTTGAGGCCAGGGGGTAGCCCTGAGGGAGGGACAGACCGCTCAGGGGTAATGAACCACGCTTCAGGCAACTCCCTCCAGGCGTTCTGAGCAAAGGGAGCTTGTTTGCCACCAGGATGGCACAGTATGGCCTAACCGGAACTGAAGCTGACTTTGGTGCACAGACAGGAGGCGGGTCTCGCCAGGGGGAAGGCAGGGGAGAGGTCTAGGGGACAGGCTCTGAGGGCTGGTGTCCAAGGATCCTGCCCGTCGTTCTGAGAGGGCAGTGGTGGTGGGAAGCTGGGGCTGGCATCCCTCCTAAGTTGTCGTCTTCTGCTCCTGGAGCAGGCACTGGGGAGCCGATGGATACTTCAGAGGCGGCCGCGGCAGTGACGCAGGCAGAACTGAGCCATCTGTCAGCCGAGGGCCAGGAAGGCCAGGCAACCACCATCCCCATCGTGCTGACACAACAGGAGCTGGCCGCCCTGGTGCAGCAGCAACAGCTCCAGGAGGCGCAGGCCCAGCAGCAGCAGCACCACTTGCCCACAGAAGCCCTGGCCCCTGCTGACAGCCTCAATGACCCAACCATCGAGAGCAACTGCCTCAATGAGCTGGCCGGAGCTGTGCCCAGCACCGTGGGTCTGCTGCCCCCCACGGCCACCGAGAGTATGTGGGACCCTGTCTGGCCACGGGCGGGTTGGCCTGCAGCCTCACTCCCCTGGGGAAGTCAGTTGACTGGGGAAGAAAGTCTTGTGAGTGGGGTCCCAGTTCCCTCGGGGTAGAGGGCCCTGTCGTGTAGCCCGAGGGAGGGGCTTCTGTGTAGAAGGCCCAGTCTCCGGGGCCTTTCTTGCTGATGCCTTTTTGTCCTTCCCAGGCCTGGCCCCGTCCAACACATTCGTGGCCCCCCAGCCGGTCGTTGTGGCCAGCCCTGCGAAGCTGCAGGCCGCAGCCACCCTGACGGAAGTGGCCAATGGCATTGAATCCCTGGGCGTGGTGAGTCTGGGGTGACAGGGTGTTGGGAGCGGGCTAATGAATCCAGACTCAGAGGGTGTCCTGATCACTTCTTCCTCTCTGCCTTCCAGAAGCCAGACCTGCCACCGCCACCTAGCAAAGCCCCTGTAAAGAAGGAGAACCAGTGGTTTGACGTGGGGGTCATTAAGGGTACCAATGTGATGGTGACACACTATTTTCTGCCACCCGAAGATGCTGTCCCAACTGATGTACGTATTCTTGGGAGCCAACACCCTCAGGTGGGCAGGGACTTGTGAATCTCCCAAGGGATGCTCTCTCCATCTCAGGGCTGACCCCTCCTCACCCTATCCCCCTTGTAGCCTTTGAAGCAGTGGCAAAGCTCAGCCCTGGCCCCCCCTCGCCCTGTTCCCCCTGGACATGACGGGGCTGCCACGGCTGCCCTTTGCCCACCCCACTGTCCCCGTGGTGGAAGAGTGCTCCACTGATTCCTGCAGCCCTCTCAGTGGTGGGCTTCACGTCACTCTCATCTCTCCTGTTCGCCTGACCTCTCCCTGTAGGATGACTCGGGCACTGTGCCCGACTACAACCAGCTAAAGAAGCAGGAGCTGCAGCCAGGCACCGCATATAAGTTCCGCGTTGCCGGGATCAATGCCTGCGGCCGGGGGCCCTTCAGTGAGATCTCAGCCTTTAAAACATGTCTGCCTGGCTTCCCGGGGGCCCCATGTGCCATTAAAATCAGCAAAGTGAGTCTTGTGAGATCAGCCTCTGTCCTCAGCTAAGTCCGTGCTCGTGGGGCTTTCTTCTTTGCTGGGCTGGGTGGGGGTGATTTGGGAGGGGCCCCTGAGATATAGGCAGAGTCCGGTGGGTCTGGGCTGAAGCTTCTGGTCCTCTCCCTCTCTGACACAGCGTGAGCCATGACTGATGTGCTCATTCACCTAATCCTCTAATGCCTAAACTCCCTGATGAGGTCTGGGCCTGTGACTCTCCATTTTTCTGATGGGGAGACTGAGCCACCAAGAGGCTAAATGATAAGCCATTTGTTAGGTGACAGAATAGGTCTAGGAAAGTGTTTGGAGTCCCGGTTCATTTTGCCATTGTGTCATGCTGCCTTCCAGGTGGGGGCAGACGAAACCATCTCTTTGGAGCTCCTTGAGCTCTGCTGTGAAATAGTTTGTTGTGTTAGGAGCGGAGTGAAGAAGGAGCCGTCAGTTTTGGAAGCTTCGACTCGGTCTAGGTTCTCTGTTCTCCGACAGGCAGGGGAGGAATAAGTCACAGAGGCCGAAGACGGCCCCCTTGGCCTCTGCTTCCTCTGTTTTAGAGTCCAGATGGTGCTCACCTCACCTGGGAGCCGCCCTCTGTGACCTCCGGCAAGATCATCGAGTACTCAGTGTACCTGGCCATCCAGAGTGCGCAGGCTGGCGGTGAGACCAAGAGCTCGACCCCAGCGCAGCTGGCCTTCATGCGGGTGTACTGTGGGCCCAGCCCCTCCTGCCTCGTGCAGTCCTCCAGCCTCTCCAATGCCCACATCGACTACACCACCAAGCCCGCCATCATCTTCCGCATTGCTGCCCGCAATGAGAAGGGCTATGGCCCAGCCACCCAAGTCAGGTGGTTGCAAGGTGGGTGTGTGTGGGGCTCACTCTGGGGAGGGAGAACTCTTGCCAGCTGCTGGCCTGGTGAGCTTGACCCTCTGGGGTGGGTGGATCCCTCACCTCCACCTGGTGGAGAAAAGCTCCTTGGGGGGGTGTTGGAGGGGGGTAGGCACGGGGAGGGCCAATAAGACCTGCAGCCAGAGGCGGGGGGTGGACGCCCAGGCTTCTGGCTGCTCCGTCACTTGGGGGGGGGGGCAACAGCAGAGGCCTCTAATCTGTGTCCAGAATGGCCCTGGGGGGTGGCATGCGGGTGGCCAGGACCCTGGGGCACATGCCCACGGCACACTCAGTGCCCGGCCACGCTGTGCTGGGTGGCCTCAGGGCTGCCCACCCACTTCCCCCCCTCTGCTTTCAGAAACCAGTAAAGACAGCTCTGGCGCCAAGCCGGCCAGCAAGCGGCCCATGTCGTCTCCGGAAATGTAAGCAGGGGGTGCCTTTCCAAGAGCCTTCTGGGGCCGGGAGTAGGCAGACCCCAAGAGCAAGGAACAGTGGGGACAGCTGGGCCCTGCTTCTCCTGAAACACGGGGGGCCGCCCAGCCTGGGGGGCAGCCAGAGCTCTGGCCAAGTCCCGCTCACTTCACCACGCAGACCCACGCTGACCCTGTCTTTTTTTGCCTTTGCCTCATCTTCCAAGGAAATCCGCGCCAAAGAAATCGAAGGCAGATGGTCAGTGAGAGGCAGCTGCCCAGCGCCTGGCTTCTTCTCCAGCCTCCCCTCTGCTTCAGGACTGCCGCCCGTCCCAACTGCCCGGCGCGCACTCCGCCCTCACGAGCCAGCGGCTGCCCTCCTCTCCCCCTCCTCTCTCTCTGTTTTTACAAGAATCTTGAGAAAGCACATTTTACCATGGCTGCAGGGCAGTGGGGAGCGGAAGGCAGATGATAAAGAGCGAGTGAGGGAGCGGGCGCCCCCCCTTCCTCCAGGGAGCCCTCGAGGGAAAGACTGAAAAGCACTGGAGCAGATGGAAAGCCTGCCTCCAAAGTCTACACACCCCTCGTTGTTGCCCTTGGCTCCAGGGATCAGCTAAGGCCCGAGGAGTTGGTGGGGGGGGCTTGTAGAAGCACCCCTGGCCCTCTTCCCTGCCTCTAGTCTCAGAGGCTTGGGGGGCATCCCCCCCAAACCGGGTATCTGTCTGGTTCTATTTTCTTTTGTGACCTTAGCATTTCTTGCCACATGACACCCGCCTGTCCTTTTGGCTTATCCAACCCTGCCCTGCCTGGCAGTCCCATGGGAAGCTGACACGTTTTCTCAGAGGCCTTCGTCCTCCCATCCCGTCCTCCCTCCCCTCCTCTTAACCCGTTCAGAGAAGAAAAAGCGAACGAAAAAGCAAGGGGTGGAGAAGGAGCCCCGGGGTGGCCTGAGCAGTGTTCTGTGAAAACCTCCTGACGCCCACCTGGGGCCTCGAGGAGCCCTCCCACTGAGCCCGGCTACGGCGTCTCTGGGGTTGGGGTTGGGGGCCACATCACCAACTGCTGCATTTGTTGTATTTTTTTTTAAGTTGAAATGGGTGAAGTTAACAGTTTTATTGTAATTTTAGTCTTAGCGTGTGGGGTTTTGTCCCTTTTTTGTTGTTGTTAGTTGTGTACAGAGTGTGTATCTTTTTCTGTTGTCTTTTTTTTTTTTAAACCTTTTCTCCTTGGCGAAGCCTTGGCAGGGATCTTTCTGGACGAACAAGGAGGGGTGGCCAGGGCAGGAGGAGTATGGCATTTTCCCTGTGGGCCTGGTGTCTGCTGCCCAGTGCGATTTTCTTTCTGGCCCCTGCTCTGTGCCCCTCTGCCTGTCCCCAGGCCTCTGGGATGATGGAGGGTGAGCGGTCAAATCTTGCCGCCCTCATGGGTCATGGCTCCAACATCTAGAGGCTTGAGCTTTGGAGTCTGCTAGAGCCCAGAGTCAGACTTCCTGAGGACGATGGTGCAAAGGCGTGGGCATGACCCGATGCCCAGCCCTGGGTCTGTGGCCCTCTCCATGACTCCCAGGCTCCCTCCCTGGCATGAGCGTTTAGAGCATCCAACACCCACAGCTGCCGCTTTCCGTGGCCACCCTCTCTGTTCAGGGCTGGCACGCAATGGACAGGAACCCGGCCTCTGAAGCTGCCTGGGATGACAAGTCGTGCAGTACCATCAATGCTACAAAGTTGGGCTCTGGGCTCTGCTGGGAGCGGCTAGTCCAGTGTCAGCTCTGCCCCATGTCCAAGGTTTTTTGCAAGGAGCGAGACTTGGAAGCAAGTCACACAGAAGGATTTGAACCGAACAGCCGATGTCTTCAAAGCCCCTTCCTCTGCCCTGGAGATGCAGCTGGGGCTGGGAAGACCCCAGCCTCTGCAGACCCATGCCCCCAGGCCCTACCCTCTGGGGCCTCTGTTGTATTATAGTATATTTCGCTGTGGAAAACGTCACGTTTAGTCACCTTGGAGCCCACCGCCTGATCCCATTGTCTCCCCCCCCCCCCAGCCCGATTCCTGAGCGCCCTCTGATCTCTCTGTTTCTGGAAACAGTACGCCCATTCATTATTGTAGAGTAACCCTTGTGACTCAATATTACCATAGTGCGATGTCGTTTTGTGCTATTTTGAACAATTAAAAGACGTTTTTTGAAATAACGACCTGCTGTGTTACTGTGTCTGGGACTCCCATGGAAGGAGGCTGGAGGCGGGAAGCTGGGCCCTGGGGGGCTCACAAACCATCCTCCTCCGTCCAGGAGTTTTTTGCTCCCAGAATTCTGCTTCCCTATTGCCTCCCACAGCCCAAAGGTTGTGCTGCAGGCTGTGGCCTTGGCAGCGAGCTGATCTAGGACCGGGTTGCCCCCAGAAGGTCCCACAATGGCAGCCAGAATGCAGGGCACAGGCCAAAGGGGCTAAAGGGGCCAAAGTTGCTGCTGACTCCCTGTGTGGAGGCCATGTTACCTCCCTCTTCTCCTTCACCACGGGACAGGGGGCAACCACCACCCTCCTTGGACCGAGAGCTCACAGCCCCTAGGACAGACCAGCATCACTGGAGGGACGACCCTGTGGTCAGAGGGCACTGCTGGAGTAACTCCTGGCCTTGCTCTTTGTGCACATGGGTCAGGGTCCCCAACTAAACAGTCCCACTGTTGGGTTGCAGTGCCAGGGCTAAGATGGTGGTGTAGCCAGGGGCAGGCAGGCAGCATCAGTCCTCAGTGCCAACCAGGACAAAGGCCCAGAGGGCCAAGTGCGGTGGCCAGGGCTTGGCACAGCCTTGGTGCCAGAGAGGACCAGTGAGGCTACTGCCCCACTGACAGGGATGGGGCTCGGACACTCCTCTGGTACCAAAATCCAGCAGGTAGGGATGGAAAGTGGTTAACGCACAGTTTGGGGAAAAAAAAAACTAGAGACAATTCAAGTTTTAAAGACAGGACTGGGGGACTCAAGACCTTGAATCAAGTGCCCTGTTCCTCGGAGCCACATCACATTTATTTAGTGTCTTGGCAAACAAAGTATCTCTTGTGCTCTGATGAAGTCAGCCTCCTGTGTCCCTGGTCACATCTCCCATTTTATTACCTTAAACTATCTCTTATTTTCTTGTACAAGGGGTATCACCTAGCTGGCAGTCATAGACCTGCATAGGCCTCGGGAAAACATCTTGGTGTGTGCACAAGCAGTGTTCTGAACTTGTGCTGACCCAGCGTTCCAAGGTCCACACTATGTTTTTCCTTAGCTTAGCAGGGCATGACGACCCCAACTCATTTTATTTGGGTTATGCTGTATTGCTATATTTTATTCTTTGCCCATGGGGTTTTTCTCATGGCTTAGAACAACAGGCGGCTGACTATTATCCCCTGCACCTCTCCACTCGGGGCACACCATGGCACCTCACCCCAGTGCATGCTCCTCTGTCCCTGGTACCCTCTCTGTTGGAATCATGGGGTCTTTGAGCATGGGGTCCCATTGGTCCCTCACCATGCCAACTCTGACCTGACTCAGAGTCCAGGCACCTCATGCCTCCGAGGGGCCCGGACGGGGGTGGTGGGGGCAGGCAGAGGCCCAGGGAGAGTGGTGGGCACATGTCCTTCAGGCTACAGCAGGGGGGGCAATGTCCAGGGGTGGGAGGATGTGGGCCAACTGTGGGGCAAAGAGTCTACCTGAGGGACTCCAGAGAGAAGTCATGGGGTGAGGAGCAACGCCCGCTTTCACCTCGGGGTTGCCCCATGACCGACAGCCATGTCTGAGGCTGGAACTTCAGAACCTTCCCCGGAGCAAAGCTCATCCTTGGCTAGGCATGTTACAGGAAGGCAGGGGAAAGCTGGGTAGAAGGGATACGCCAGGAATAATGATGGGCATCTGCAGCTGGGTGGCTGATACCAAGCCAGCTGGGACCCCAGCCGGGACCCCCCCAAGCACGAGGTCACATGGGGGGCACACAGCGGCCACAGGGTGTGCTGATCTGCAGGGTGCCCATGGTCTCGTCGGGACAAGCACATGGTGCTCCAGGCTCCTGTCCCTGGGCTGCACAGATGAGGCAGAGGCCCAGTTACATCTCCGGCAAACAGGGCGCCCCCGCCTCTGAAGCCCAAGCTTCCCCAAGCCCCCATGGGAGTCCAGGGTCCCGGAAACGGCCCCTCCACATAATTCTTCCACTGGCTGAGCAAGAGGAGGAAGTTTGACCTGCCTTCTTCAGAGCACCCGACATAATCGGACAGTCCGGAGAGGCAGACTGGGTGCTGGAAGGTCTGCCTGGAGAACTCCGGCTCTGAGGACCCTGCTCTTCACTTGCACAGTTCCCGCCTGACTGTCGAGCGGCATCTCTGAGGTGAAGAGGTCAGGGGCTGTGGAGTGGATTCCACAGAGAGAGGACTTGCCCGCCCTGTGGGGTCACAGGTCAGAGGGGTCTCAGCATTCAGGCATTTCCAGCTGTCTCTTCTCTTGGACTTCCCTGGTGGTTCAGACGGTAAAGAGTCTGCCTGTGATGCTGGAGACCTGGGTTCGATCCCTGGGTCAGGAATATCCCCTGCAGAAGGGAATGGCAACCCACTCCAGTGTTCTGGCCTGGAGATTCCCATGGACATAGGAGCCTGGCGGGCTACAGTCCTACAGTCCATGGGGTCGCCAAGAGTCAGAAGCGACTTCACTGTCACTTTTTCCTCTCGTGGGCACTTGGGCTCATGCCCTGCCCTGCCCTGCCCCGGGGGGCCCCCCTCAGGCGGGGAGACGTGGCTGGAGGAGGGAAGACAGCCCTGAGTTCTCTCTTTACCTCCCCTCCCACCCCAATCCTAGAATGTCCTGCCAACTCACCTAGCACTTCCCACTAGGAGGGCATTAAGCAGAGGGTGCCCAGCAGAGGAACTCCAGCGGCCTCAGCTTCCCTCGCGGGGCGGGGCGGAGGGTCCGCCCGGGGGGCGTGACCGGAGGGTGGGGGCATGGCTGTGAGCCAGCCAAGCCCCGCCCCCGCTGTGGGCTCGGCCCCCGGGCCAGGCGGAACCTGGCGGGGTAGAGGTGGGTGGTGCTAGGCTGGGTCAGCTGAGTGACAGTCACGCGACCGCACTCTGCTCCGTGTGGCTTCCTGGAGGAGAGGGAGTGATGAGCCGGGGTCTCCGAGTGTGGCAGGCCAGTGCTGGGCGGCCCGGGCAAGGGGTGAGGGCTGGGGGTGGTCGGTGTTGTCCTGGAGGAGGCCGTCCAGGACGGGGGACGGGGACGGGGGGGTTCAGTCCCGGGGCCCATCTTGCTCAGGAGGGCAGACCTGCCTCGGGGGGCAAGGGGGGGAGCTTCCCGAGGCTCCGAGTCAGGCAGCCCTAGGGGGCCACTCGAGCCTGGGGTGACCTGCGGCCCCGGGGAGTCCACCGACGGGACGGGCACCCGAGAAGACGGGGCGGCCTGTAGGGGAGCCGTGTCTCCAAGTCTCTGTCCACAGGACATGGAGAAGGAGCAAGAGACGCTGCGGGCCTGGAAGGAGCGCGTGGCGCGCGAACTGGATCGCGTGGTGGCTTTCTGGCTGGAGCACTCCCACGACCAGGAACAGGGGTGCGCGCCTCGCCCTTCTGGGGGCCGTGGACTGGGTTCTTCGCTCCTCTGGAGCCCCTGTACCTCACTCTGGACTGACTGCCATCTGTGGGGCGCCGCCCCCAGCCTCCGCCCCCACCCCCATCCCCGCGAACTCGGCTAATGTCAGCGTGTCCTGCAGGGGCTTCTTCACGTGCCTTGGCCGCGACGGGCGGGTGTACGATGACCTCAAGTACGTCTGGCTGCAGGGAAGGCAGGTACGGACGAGGCATGCCCGGGGGCGCCCGGGACTGGAACCGGCGCGCTGGGTCCTGCCTGAGTTCGCACACCGGTCAGGGATCGCGGGCTCACCGCCCTCCTTCCCACGGCCCTGAGGATGGCGGCTCCCCACTTGAGCCACGACCCCTCCGCTCCCCCCCCTGCCCCAACCCAGGTGTGGATGTACTGTCGCTTGTACCGCCAGTTTGAGCGCTTCCGCCGCCCGGAGCTTTTGAATGCAGCTAAAGCAGGTGCCCTCCCTCCCCATCCCCATCTCCCCAGAGGCCACTCTCGGTGATCCCCGCAGCCACGCGGTACTCCCAGTTGCCTGCTTGCCAGCCGGCTCTGGAAGCCCCCCAAGGGCGCCCGGTGCCCACTGATGGGGAGGAAGGCACCGTTTGGGGCATCCCCAACGCACCTTCCAGCGCACCACCTTCCTGACCACCAGGTGGCGAGTTTTTGCTGCATTATGCCCAAGTGGCACCTCCTGCAAAGAAGTGTGCCTTTGTGCTGACCAGGGACGGCCGCCCAGTCAAGGTGCAGCGGACCATCTTCAGCGAGTGTTTCTACACCATGGCCATGAACGAGCTGTGGAGGGTGACGGGAGACGCGCGGTACCAGGTGTGGGGGAGGATGGGCACGCTGTACATCTCCGTCCCCTCACCTTCGCTGGCTCCTGGCACCTGGGTGCGGGCCAGATCTGTCCTTAACATCAGTTCTTTCTCTGGGCCCACAGAGAAACTCATGTCCATCGAGTTGGTGATGCCATCAAACTATCCACTCCTGTGTCGTCCCCCTCTCCTCCCACCTTCAATCTTTCCCAGCATCAGGGTATTTTCTAATGAGTTGGTTCTTCGCATCAGGTGGCCAAAAGTACTGAAGTTTCAGCTTCAGGATCAGTCCTTCTAATAAATATTCAGGACTGATTTTCTTTAGGATGGGCACAGAGGTGTTACCAAACCAGACTTGGGCCCATGTGCGGTGAAGGCAATCCACTGACACCAGGTGGTGGGGAAGGAAAGTGCAGCATTTATTCCAAAGGGACAGGGTAGGTCCTGCTCAAAACACCTTTCAGAGAAGGGTTTAGGGCAAAATCAAGGAGGAGGTTGAAGGGCACCTGATCGAGGGCACCTGATCGGCTTAGGAACATTCTTCTGATTG